TGACAAATATGCGGACTAAACAACATGCTACTGAAAAACTATTGGATCAATGGAGATATCAACGGAGAAATAAAAAAATACCTGGAGACAGGGGCTGGCCTGGTGGTGCAGTGGTTAAATTCATGCACTCCACTTTGGTGGCCCAGGGTTCACTGATTTGGATACCAGGCATGGACCTACACACTGCTTATCAAGGCATGCTGTGGCAGGCATCCTATATATAAAATAGAGGAAGATGGGCACAGATGTTAGCTCAGGGCCAATCTTCCCCCCTCCAAACAAAAAGGGAAAAAAAATACCTGGAGACAAATGAAAATGAAAACACAACATTCCAAAACCTATGGGATGCAGCAAAAGTGGTACTAAGTGGGAAATATATAGCAATACAAGCCTACCACAAGAAAGAAGAAAATCTCAAACAATCTAACATGATACCTAAAAGAACTAGAAAAAGAAGAACAAACAAAGCCAAAAGTCAGTAGAAGGAAGGAAATAATAAAAATCAGAGTGGAAATAATTGAAATAGAGACTAAAAAGACAATAGAAGATATAGATAAAACTAAGAGCTGGTTCTTTGAAAAGATAAAATTGAAAAACCCATAGCTAGACTCACTAAGAAAAAAGAGAGAAGGTTCAAACCTAAAGAGCTCACACAACTCAACAACAAAAATCAAACACCTCAATCAAAAAATGGGCAGAGGATACGAACAGACATTTTTCCAAAGAAGATATACAGATGGCCAATAGGCACATGAAAATATGCTTAACATCACTAATCATCAGGGAAACGCAAATCAAAACTACACTGAGAAATCACCTTATGCCCGTTAGAATGGCTATAATCACCAAGACAAAAAATAACAAATGTTGGAGAGGATGCGAAGAAAAGGAAACCCTCACACCGCTGGTGGGATTGCAAACTGGGGCAGCCACTATGGCAAACAGTATGGAGATTTCTCAAAAAATTAAAAATCTAAATACCATATGACCCAGCTATTCCAATACTGGGTATTTATCCAAAGAACTTGAAATGAACAATTCAAAGAGACTTATCCACCCCTATGTTCATTGCAGCACTATTCACAATAGCCAAGATGTGGAAGCAACCCAAGTGCCCATCAACTGATGAATGGATAAAGAAGATGTGGTATATATATACAATGGATTACTACTCAGCCATAAAAAAGACAAAATCGTCCCATTTGCAACAACACAGATGGAACTTGATGGTATTATGTTAAGCAAGACAAGCCAGACAGAGAAAGACAAACACCATATGACTTCACTCATTTGTGGAAGATAAACAAATACATGGACAAAGAGATCAGACTAGTAGTTACCGGAGGGGAAGGGGGTTGGGGAGTGGGCATAAGGGGTAAAGGGGCACATATATATGGTGATGGACAAAGAATAATGTACAACTGAAATTACATAATGTTATAAATTATTATGACCTCAATTTAAAAAGAGAGAGAAGGCACAAATAAGTAAAATCAGAAATGAAAGAGGAGAAATTACAATGGATACCACAGAAAGACAAAAAATTATTAGAGAATACTATGTAAAGCTATATACCAAAAAACTGAACAACCTAGAAGAAATGGACAAGTTCTTAGAATCATACAACCTTCTCAAACTGAATCAAGAAGATATAGAGAATCTGAATAGACCAGCCACAAGTAAAGAGACTGAATCAGTGAAAAACCTCCTCCCAAACAAAGTCCAAGAACCAGACAGCTTCTCTGTTGGATTCTACCAAACATTCAAAGATTTAATATCTATCTTTCTCAAACTCTTCCAAGAAATTGGAGAGGATGAGATGCCTCCTAACTCATTTACAAGGCCAACATCACCCCGATGCTAAAACCAGACAAGGACAATGCAAACAAGGAAAATTACAGACCAATATCAATGATTAACATAGATACAAAAATTCTCAACAAAATATTAGCAAATGTAATACAATACATTAAAAGGATCATATACCACAATCAAGTGGGATTTATTCCAGGGACACAGGAATGGTTCAACATCCACGAATCAACGTGACAACCACATTAACAAAATGAAGAATAAAAATCACACGATCATCTCAATAGAGGCAGAGAAAGCACTTGAGAAGATCCCACATCCATTCATGATAAGAACTTTCAACAAAATAGGTATAGAAGGAAAGTACTTCAACATAATAAAGGCCTTATATGACAAACCCACAGCTAAAATTATACTCAGTGGTGAAAAACTGAAAGTTGTTCCTTTAAGAACAAGATAAGACAAGGATGCCCACTCTGACCACTCATATTCAACATAGTATTGCAAGTCCTACCCAGAGCAATTAGGCAAGAAAAAGAAATAAAAGGATCCAAATTGGAAGGGAAAAGTAAAATTGTCACCATTGCGAACAACATGATTCGATATATAGAAAACCCTAAAGAATTCACAAAAAAAAACTACTAGAAATAATTAACAAATACCACAAAGTTGTAGGGTACAAAATCAACATACAAAAATCAGTTGTATTTCTACACACTGAGAATGAGCTGGCAGAAAGAGAAGTCAAGAATACTATCCCATTTACAATAACAATAAAAAGAATAATATACCTAGGAATAAATTTAATCAAGAAGGTGAGAGACTTGTACACTGAAACCTATGACATTGTTGAAAGAAATTGAAGTCATGAAGAAATGGAAAAATATTCTGTGCTCATGGATTGGGAGAATTAACATAGTTAAAATGTCCACAGTACCTAAAACAATCTACAGATTCATGCAATCCCAATCAGAATCCCAGAAACATTTTTCATAGAAAAAGAATAAAGTATCCAAAAATTTATATGGAACAAGAGAAGACCTCAAATATCCAAAGCAATTCCGAGAAAAAAGAGCAAAGCTGGAGGTATCACACTCCCTGATTTCAAAATATACTACAAAGTTATAGTAATCAAAACAGCATGGTACTGGCAGAAAAACAGACATACAGATCAATGGAACAGAATAGAAAGCCCAAAAATAAACCCAGACATCTATGGACAGCTAACTTTCAACAAAGGAACCAAGAACATACAACGGAGAAAGGAGGTCCCTTCAACAAATGGTTCTGGGGAAAACTGGACAGCCTCATGCAAAAAAATGAAAGTAGACCATTATCTTACACTACATACAAAAATTAACTCAAAATGGATTAAAGACTTGAATATAAGACCTAAAATCATAAAACTCCTAGATGAGAACAGGCAGTAGTCTCTTTGATAGTGGTCTCAGCAGTATCTTTTTGAATATCATTTCTCCTCAGGCAAGGAAACAAAAGAAAGAATAAACAAATGAGGCTATCTCAAACTAAAAGTCTTCTATACAGCAAAGGAAACCATCAACAAAATGAAAAGACAGCCCACCAATTGGGTGAAGATACCTGCAAATCACATATCTGATAAAGGGTTAATGTCCAAAAGACATAAAGAATGCATACCACTTAACAACAAAAAAACAAACAATCCAGTCAAAAGATGGGCAGAGAATACGAATGGACATTTTTTCCAAAGAAGATATACAGATGGCCAACAGACACATGAAAAGATGTTGAACATTACAAATTATTAGGGAAATGCAAATCAAAACTACAATGAGACACCATCTCACGCCAGTCAGAATGGCTACTATTAACAAGAGAAGAAACAGTAAGTGTTGGAGAGGATGTGGAGAAAAAGGAACCCTCGTGCAATGCTGGTGGGAAAGTAAATTGGTGCAGCCACTATGGAAAACGGTATGGAGATTCCTCAAAAAAGTAAAACTAGAAATACCATATGATCCAGCTATTCCACTTCAGGGTATTTATCCAAAGAACATGAAAACACGAATTTGAAAAGCTATGTGCACCTCTGTGTTCATTGCAGCATTATTCACAATAGCAAAGACTTGGAAGCAACCTAAAGGCCCATCAAGGAATGAATGGGTAAAGACGATGTGGTGTACATATACAATGGAATACTACTCAGCCATAAAAAGCACGAAATATTGCCATTTGTGACAACATGGATGGACCTTGACAGTATTATGCTAAGCGAAATAAAATAGACGAAGAAAGATAATTACCGTATGACTTCACTCATATGTGCAAGATAAACAAGCAAACACATGGATACAGAGACCAGATTGGTGGCTACCAGAGGGGAAGGTCGGGGGTGGGGGGGTGAAAGTAATAAAGGGGTACATATGTGTGGTGATGGATGGCAACTAGACTTTTGGTGGTGAACACGATGCAATCTATACAGAAGTTGAAGTATAATGATGTACACCTGAAATTTATATTAAGTTATAAACCAAAAAGTCACCACAACTAAAAAAAGTTTAAAAAAAATAAATAGTCAGATATACTGTGTTCATGGTTTGACTCAATATTGTTAACATGTCAATTCTCAATTCTCCCCACATTGATCTAGAGATGCAAAGAAATTGCAGTGAAAATTCCAAAGGATATTTTATTGATATTGATAACTCGTTTATAACATTTATGTGAAAGAAGAAAGGAACTAGAATAGCCAAAATGATTTTGAAAAAGAACAAAGTTGCAGGACTCACACTAGCTGATTTCAAGGGTTACTATAAAGCTATAGTAATCAAGACAGTGAGCTATTGGCAGAAAGGTAGACACATAGATCAATGGAACAGAATAAAGATTCCAGAAACAGACTCACACATATGTGACAACTGATTTTTGACAAAGGTGCAGAGACAGTTCAGGAGGAAACAAGGCTTTTCAACAAATGGTACTGGCGGTCCGTATGCAAAAAAATTTACCCTGACTCGTACCTCACACCTTTTACAAAACTTAACTCAAAGTGGGTCACAAACCTACAGATAAAATATAAATCTATAGAATTTAAGCTCCTAGAAATCCAGGAAGTCAAATCAAATTATACTTAGCAAGTAATGGTGAGATTATGTAAAACTTTAAGCTCTTCTCGTACTGTGGATCCTTAACATCTCTGAGCGCCTACTCACAGAGTATGAAGTCCAAGTGCAGAACTTGGCACACAGTGGGCCCCTGGCAAATGCTAGTCTCCATGAGCGTGTGTCTAACAGATTCCATTCTATCGTCCATCTTCTCCAAGGCTGTAGCTCTAGTTTGCTATCAAGTTCTCATTCCACTCACTGTAAGAAAAGGTAAATCAAAACAGACCTAAAAACCTTGCTTTTCTTAGTTGGCTCTTGCTTCTGTCCAATTGTCCCTTCTTTAGGGACCCCTCTGTGTCAGTGATTAGTGTTCACGCCACATCCTGACTTAGTATAGTGTGCAATTTTCATGAACGTGGAGAGAGATTGCTTCCCTCTTCCAAATTAATGATGAAGGCATAAACTAAGAGGGTTCCCGACAGCCATCTCCGCACCTTCCTACAACCAGATACTTTGCATCAATAACCTTTCTTTGTGATGTTGTAACTAATTTTGCAAATAAAATTTCCTGAGATATATCAAATCTTCACCAACATAAGATACATTACGTCTCTTGCATTTCCGCTTCATCTATTCATAACTCTGTCAAAAAAAGCTATTGTGCTGGCGTGATTTGTTTCTTTGAAGCCTAAGCCACTTATTGTTCCTGATATCATCACTTTCCCGCTACTTAAACACACACATGCGTGCACACACACACACACATACACACACACACATACGCACAGAATTATTATGGCTGTAAGTGATGTTTACAGGGTGATAATTACCAGTATCTTTCTTTTCTTCTTTCTCACTTTGAAGAACAGGCAATGTTTCATATTCACATCAGTCCATTCATCTCGTAATCTTCCTGATTCTACGCTAGGCGTTCAGCCTGATTTTCTATGATTACCATGTGAATCTTATCAGGAGGCCCATCCTCTGGATCTTGAGCTATATCCTGAGTAACACAGGCCAATGTCAAGGGGATCCCTGCCCCCTTACAATGCCAGGAAAAAGCACTTTCCAGGCTCTAAAAGAGAAGCACAAGAATCCTAAGTTCTGCCATTGGTAGAAATATTCTTTTTTTCAGGGAGTTCCTGTGGAGATACAGGGTTTTTAGAAAATGATAAGCATTACAGAAATCAGTTAAGAATAGAAGTTCTGTCTCATTTACATGTGGCCTAAAATAAATTGAGAGATTTGGCCATCTTAATCTCCTACATATTTTACTGCTTTTGGTGTCTTGTCTTTGAAAGAAAGGAAGTTGACATTTACTGAAAGCCTATAGTAGGCCAGACATTCTTCTAGTTCTCATTTAGTCTAAATAACAACCCTTAATATATGTTTTATGGTCCCCATTTTACAGATGATGTAGAGGCTGTGTTACGTGGTTATGCCTGAGGACACAGGATGAGGGATAGATCTGAGACTCATGTGCGGTCTGCGTGATTTCAGAGGCCCGTCATCTTATGCAATCCAGACTGTTCTTGACTTTGCAGAAAATTGCTCTGTGCCTGTAGGTAAGTCTCTTAACCACTCTGACCCCAGTTTCCTCAGCTGTGAAAAGGAGGGGTTGGGATAGCTCAGTGCTAGCGTCTCCACCTGTTCTAACCTTCTGAGAGCCTTGAAGAATTTGAATTTAGGGCAAGAGAAGACAATACTTCCGATAGGGAAATATTGACTTAACAAATAGAAAAAGAGAGAGAGAGAGCAATAGGAGGTGGGAGGTGCTGGCCTAGTCAATGTGGGTGAGGCTCACGCAGATGCAGAAAGCTTAACAGTTAGAGGCAATTTTGCAGTCTTAGGATGCCTGCGGAACTGAAGTTCCCATTCAAGTTACCTTAGAGATTCCGATGAAAAAGATGGGAAATGCCCGGGTTTAAAAGTGTCTGACTTCTCAACTGCTGCCTCCAGCTCTCGAGTTGCAGTGCTTCTCCAGGTAATCACGAGACTTCCAAAGGGACTGTGTGTACGGAGGTCCAACTTCCCAAGAGCAGGATCCTGTTTACCCATGATATTTCCAGAAATCTTCATCACTTAAAGAATTTAAATTACTAGCCTTCTCTTCTCTTCTGTTTTACATCCCTCTCCCCCTCTTCCTCTATGCATAGTAGACAGGGTGACTTTTCACATAATTTAGTACTTTCGATAACAAGAAAAGTGATCTCAGGTTGTGAGAGGTGCCCTTACCGAAATGGTTGCCTCTTTCTCAATGTTCTCCTCTCTCCCTCCCTTCTTTCTCTCCTTCCCTCCTTCTTCCCCCTTTTTCTTTTTGTTTTTTGGGGGGGGGTGGTTTTTTGAGTAGGGTTTTGCTTTCAGGAGTTATTCTGTTCCGATTTGTAGCTTCTACAAACAGTATCATATTTTAAAGGCTTCAACGAGCACAACCTTACTTAAAAATTCTCCATATTATCATGAGCGAAGTCAGCCTAACTCTTTTAAAACGCTCTGATGGACCAAGTACTTTAAGCAAGTGTTCCTTTCTTGGCAGCTTGAATACAATGAAATCTTCTAGAGTAGATCCCTGTGCATTTTTGGGTGCTAAATGACGAATGGAGAAATGTGGGCTAGCTGGTAAAAACTCAAGTCCGAGCGCCCCTTCAATCATACTGTAAAAATACATGTATTTTAAAAATTGAGATTCATGCAATTTTCTGACTTGATTAAACTAGAAACTCTCAGCAAGAGCTTGATTTCCAGCCCATTATCCAGACCAAAGAGGTTTGGATGAGCTTCTGTTAAGTATGCAATTCTTAAGCTGTCTGAATCCAGCTCATCAAGAGGACAGGCATGTTGCAGACGACAAGAGGAGGAGCTTTTGTGTCCTCTAATTTCCTCTGTCTGGGCCATCAGGGAGCAGCGCGCAGCATTGTAATACGCAGTGCTAGCACGGCACCCTTTCCCAGAACCAGAACGGCTTCTTTGCTACTTCCCTCTGATTACTTCTCTGGACTGGGAACATGGAGGGACGGTAACTCTGGGATAACAAAGGCCACTGCATAATATCATCAGGGATGCAGAGTGGTGGTGAAGTTATTAAGCCATTTGGAGCCTCAGTTTTTCTATCGTGAAAATGGGGGTAATACCTACTGCTCAAGAATGATAAAAACAGAGGTGATGTATATGTTATACATACCAAGTGTCACATAAAGTGCTTGGATAGAAAGCACACTAAAGTGGGCAAGGCATCTGGTGTTGTTGGTATTATCTAATGAATGCAACACACACATATTGGGGGCAGGCTTCATGCCCATTCCTTGCCAGGCTCTGAGATGACAGATGCTAGGGCTCCTGTCCAGGCAGAGCCTGCAGAGGCCCCTCCCCCAGCCATGCTCTGCTCAGGCCAACGTGCCCAGAGGCCCTGTCCATGTCCCAGTCTTATAAGGGACTCCTCGTGTGCTCCCTCATCTCATCCAGCTCACCAGGCCCATTACTAATGCAATTTCGGGCGTGGAAGAAATCTTTGCCAACAAAATGAAAGAGGGCTTCTAACTTCTTTCTCCCCCAATTCCCGAACGTAGATGGTCATGAGAACCGAGATATACACTTTTTTCACCAGTACATCAAAATGTATCTACTTCTCAGCTCAGGCCTGAAGGTGATTTGTTCTTTATGAACGTAATATTCAGGGTGTCAGTGCTCAATTGAATGCATCTTAAATAAGATGCCTTTTTTTATGAAAAAGTTTTGGGAAACTGCAACTGTCTGACATGTGCAGGTAGTTTTAATGAGTGTGTGGGTGTGTGTGTGGAGCTTAAGTCGTGCATGCTCTTTTAGACAAATCATAAAATTGCGATATACCAGAAGAAATAAAAATGTAAGTGACTCAGAATCCCACTATCCAGCGTCCATTTAATTGTTAATCTTTTAGAATCTTGAGATTGTCCATATATGTGCATCTAAATTAAAAATGTAGACACCTTGTAATAAAATAGGGCTGCATTTTACATACAGACTTTATTCCCCTCAATAATATTATGACTCTCTTTGCATGTCTATATATATACTTACATTTCCATTCCAAATAACTATAAGTACCATAATTTATTTAGTCAATTTCCTGTTCAGAGAGTTGGTTTTAAGTTTTTACTCATAAACGTGACCTGGATGTCTCAGGCGTTACTAGACAATGAGTACAAACATAGTAACATTAATTCCCCAAATTTAAAAACCCCAAGGCCCCAACTCCCATCATTTTCAGAGTCTTCCTCCTTAGATATTTCTAGAATCCCCAGGAGTACTTACATGCGTCGGTGGGTCACTCCTGGCGTTGTTTGCTTCCACGGGTGGCCGAGTCAAGGTGCCACATCCTCCATCTGACAGCTTCACAGGGATGTGCTGTGGGCTGGAACTTTGCTCGTGTTGTTGTACCAACTCATCACCATGTTCTGAAAATCTGCTACTCCAAATGTTGGCACAACCAAATACTATTAGTGTACTTCAAAACTGACGGTCTTTATTGCTATTACCACCCTTGGGAGGTAAGAAGGAAAATATATCTTCCTTTGTTTGGGTCCCGTCGCAAGGATGCTCAAAGCCCAATGTGTCCAGTGTTGAGTTACACAGTCTTATCATTCTTGCAAAGCTTCTTTCTCTAAGTCCCACCCACACCTCCCTAGTAGAGGGTAGGATGAGCAACCGTTCCAGTTTGCCAGGACTTTCCTGATTGTAGCACTGGAAGTTCCACTTGCCAGGAAATTCATCAGTCCCCACCAAACCAGAATGATCAGTCACTACTAGAGAAATGGGTTCAAGTGCTAGTATCAGCCAACATGCTGTGTTTGGAACCACTGCTTCCTTGCAACTACTGGGCCCTATTGCTAAGCCCGGCTTGCTTTTTCCTTTACGGTAAAATTTATCTTAGGATGCCCTCCATCTGGTTTCCACTGGGGCAACATTCACCAGACCTGCCTATATATATCTCAACCTAAAAAAAAGACAGAGTCTCAATTATTTATCCTCAGGAAACTCTTCAGCTCCTCACTTAGCCTTGTGTTCAGCCTCTTAAACTAGTGGATGCAAATGCATATGTGGTGGAAGAGATGTTGCCTAACTGCACTTAGTAGAAACTCTGGAATCCCATTGCCTTCTCATAAACAACACTCTGATGAACATCTTGTACTGAGAGCTTTATGTATGAGTCTGATTGTTTCTTTGGAATAAATCCCCGAAACTGTAATTGCCTTTTAGTTTTTGATGCCTATTGTCAGGGTGCCCTCCAGAAAGTCTATTCCAATGCACTTTTTCGGTTTATTTTTCTAAACCATGCAAATTTATGTTCAGGATAAAAAGAAGCTCTGACCTGTTTCTAGGACAACAGAGGATGTTCCATGCCAGAAGGTCTTTGCCACAGGGGAAAGGGAGAGAATATGTGAGAAGGGCTAGGGAACAACAGTCCCGAGTTGCCTGACAGGGTCCGAAGCTTTAAGAAGCCCCTTACGCTCAGTGCTTTGTGGTTATTGTCCCAGAATATCCACGCAGTCCATCCAACACAATGCCTTCTCTTTCACTCACATCCACAGTCCTGCAGGCTGTACCCAGCCAGGGAATCTGCACTTGGAAGGAGAATACAGGCTGGGAAAATTCCACTCTGACGTGCTACTCTTTTCTTGTTTGATTCCCACAGAACCTATGGCTGTTGGCCCCCAGGAAATAAAAATGAAGAGAAAGCCAGACCCGGGTCACCATTAGCCAAATGAAGCAGTTGTCTAGGTAGCTGGAGAGTGGCTCAAGGTGGGGTGAGGGATTCTGCCTCAGACAAAGTTCCAGAAACGATGTTGGAGGCTGGTCAGGGTAACTGACAGGGCTTTGTGCATCATGCAACACATTGTCGCCAGGCCTCCGGGCTGCCTGGGGCCAGTTCTGTAATGAAGGGTTGGCTGGATAACTCTTGGAATCAGGGAAGGTGAAACCCGGCAGCATGGAGCATTTCAAGTGATTTTACCCCATAAGGTATACTCAGTACACACTTTGGGATGAAAAACATGGGAGATATGCGCCAAGGGCATGTCTACCTCTATCGTGTTTCAAACCTAAGTAAACAAAATGTAAAGCATTCAAAATAAAGAGTATGCCATGTTTGCATGAACAATTTGTAATTCTCCTCATGCAAAAGTTACTGGCAATGATCTGCTCCTCACTGGGCAATATGGGAAGCAAACCAATATTACCATTAGATCTGATTTAAAAGCTGAGCACACTAAATAGACACATATTTACATAACTAACCATCCAAACTAACATAAATAGAAGGCCCAATTCCCTCAGCACTCCCACAGAGCCTGGAGCAGGTGGATGGTCCTGATCCTAGTCCTAACTGACCAGGGGTTTCCAAGCAGGAAAAGGCTTCCAGGATGCTCCGACCTTGCTCATTCAAGATGTTCCCCTGAGCTGCCTGGACGTGAATGAAAAACAAGGGACAAAAAAAATCACTGCATTAAAGATCATGTCTGAGACACTGTTTTTATTTGGGTGCTTAACTCTCCTATGTCTCCTAGAGGGAAAAATTCCAGCAGAACATAACGGGAAATTTGGTTTCTAGCCCCAGTATGTTAGTTGCCTGGTTGTGTAACCATAAGCTAGTTGCTTCTCCTTTCTGACCATCAGTTTTCTGACCTTTAAAATTGGGAGCTTGAACTAAATTGTCTCCCAAGAGCTTTTCACCTCTAATGTTATCAGCAAAATAGCTCTTACCGAATAAATAACCTGCCTCTCTTTTGAGTTTTGGAAAAGTTCAATTTCAAACCATCAATTGAATTTCTGCAGCCTCCATCTGGAAAGTCACATGCTGAAATTCAAATCCACCTCTTTGCCCTCCATTGGTCACTATTGTTACCCTGGGTGATCTTGGGCAATGGCAATTTCCAAGACTCCTGTGCATGCGCAAAAGCACCCCTTACCATAGTAAAGGCCAAAGAAAGTGTAGTCTTGCTCTTTTTGTGCTATTCTTTGGATTTCCTTGGCTTCTTACAAGGCAGATTAAAGGCAGACCCTTTAAGACCTTCACTGCTAGACTCCTTCTATATTTTATGCTTTTCTGAAGTAGACATTATGCTCTCACCTAGAGCCCAGATTCTAGATGGACTGAAATTTACTCCAACCTTCAAGCTCCAACTAAAACATCTGAAATAAACACTCGCACATTTGTTGTACCATTGTCATCTGTTTTCCAATGTTGATGTTGCAAAGTCAGCTGTCAATCTGATTATGATTCCTGTGGAGTAACCTGTTTTTTCCTTAGCTACTTTTAAGACTTTCCCTTTATAGTTCAGGTTCTATAAGTTCACTATAATGTTTCTAAGTGTAAATTTCTTTTCATTTATCCTGATAGGAATTTATTTGGCTTTCTGAATCTATAAATTCATTTCTTTCATCAATTACAAAGAATGTTCAGCCATTATCTCTTTGAAGATTCCCTCTCTTGCATTCTCATTTGTCTCCTGAAATTCTGACTAGTCCATGTCAATGTCTCTCACTCTGTTCTCTGTAACTCTTGATGTTTCATTCATATTTTTTTCTATTTCTTCATCTCTCTATGCTTTAATTTGGGTGATTTCTCAGATCTAACTTCTACTTCACCAATTCTCTTTTTAGCTATATTTAACCAGCTGTTTATACTGTCCATCGAATTTATTTAAATTATCAAAATTTTCATTTCTAGATGTATTTTTGGTTCTTTCTCAAGTTTTCCTGCTTATTTCTGTTACTTTGTCATATGCTCAATACCTTGTTTTATCTTTTTTCTTTTCTTTTTTTCTTTTTTGCTGAGGAAGATTCACACTGAGCTAACACCTGTTCCCAATCTTCCTCTTTTTTTCGTATGTGAGCCACCGCCACAGCATAGCCACTGACAGACGAGAGGTGTAGGTCCGCGCCCAGGAACCAAACCCGGGCTGCTGAAGCGGACCATGTCAAATTTCACCACTATGCCACCAGGGCTGGCCTTTATTTCTTTAAACAGAAACATACTTATTTTATAAGATTGTTTTTACTTATTGTATTCAATATCTGAAATTCTGATATCTGCATGTTTTGTGGGATCCAGTCACTCTCTTATTTCTGTCTTTTGTTCATGTTGGCTGTTTCCTCATGTTTTTAGTGATTTTTGATTATCATCTCATATTCCCTGAAACATTACTTATAATAATTATCTGAGGCTTGTGTTCTTCAGAGAGGGACATTCAACCTGGGATTAGTTTCAACCAAAGTTTTCACTTGAGGTTTTCAGGCCATTGAGATTGTGTAAATTTGGGTCTGGATTCCCAAAGCTAAGGTTCAGGGAGACAAATGCCCCTTGTGGGACAGGTCCTCCCACTGAGAGTGTAGCCCTTTAAGGGTGATGGTTTATTCAGAGCCCCAGGCTTTATTTCTGTTTCCCCATGGATGTGGCTCTGGGCCACCAGGATCACTGCATTTGGGGGAAAATGCTATCTGTGCTGGTTTAAAAATATGTCCATACATTCTTCAGTACTCCTCTCTCCAAAGAGTGGAGCCTAACTTCCCTCCCCTTGAGTGTGGGCTGGACTTAGACTTCCTTCTATGAATACAACACAATGAAAGTGATGGTGTGTGGCTCAAGACTAGGTCATAGACGGCATTGTGACCTCATCCTTGCTCTCCTTGGATCATTCACCCTGGGGAAAGTCAGCTGCCATGTTGTCAGGACATTCAGTCAGCCCTATAGAAGAGCACACATGACATGGACCTGAGGCCTCCTGCCCAAAGGCATGTGAGTGTGCCATCTGGGAAGCAGATCTTCCAGCCCAGTCAAACCTTCAGAAGACTGTAGCCATGACCAATATCTTGACAGCCACCTCTGAGCTAAAACATACAACTAAGCAGCTCTCAAATTCCTGACCCATGGAAACTATGAGACAATAAACGATCATTTTAACAAGGTTTTAGGGTGATTTTCTACTCAGCACTAGATTATCTCCTGGAATTCTGCTTTCTCACTCTTTCTGGCCTCCAATTGTTTATTGCCAGCACAGCCATATTTTTTTCAAAATATGTATTACATTTGATCTAGCATTCTTAGGAGTTCTTTATTGGGAGAAGTTTCTGCACATAGCTTGCCATATTTCTGAAAACAGAAGTCTTCATGTTTATTACTGAATCCTCTTATCTAAGATAAACTTGGCAAAGTAAGTTCATTAACCTCATTAAGTATGTAAAGAAGGAGGTTCAACGAGGTTGTCTCCTGCCCAAGGTCACACCACCAGCATGTGATGGAGCTGGGACTTAAACACAAGTATGACAAATTCCAAAGTCCGTGCTCCTTTCAAAATCACAAGTAGCTTTCCATGGATGTAATTGAAAACAATGTTATCATCCAATCCAGCTGTTTATCCACTGGGCACAGGTGGTTACAGAAGGAATAGATGGGAAAAATAGAGGCAAAGGCTGGAGATCCTGCTAACAGTGTGTTATGCTATAGAAGGACTCTTATGAGCCTTGAGTGGACTCCCAATTTTTTCTTGGAAAGGTCCTTTGGCACCATGTCTGTCTCCTCCTCTGCTTCTCCAAGTGTTTCCCAGGGTCCTGCCATAAAGAGCAGTCTTCAGCACTCTTATCTCTCATCTCCCTCTACATGTATTCTCTCGGGGATCTGGGCTGCTCAAATGGCTTCCATTAATGCTCATTCATGGACAACTCCCTCCTTTCCTTGAAGCCACATCTCTCTTTGTCTTTCTTGGGCTTGTCTTTCTTGGTGTCATCTGGAAGAATGCATACCAGATGATGAGTTCATAACAGCACACACTCAGTGGGTAAGTAATTTAACTTCCCTCAGCCTCAGATTGCTCATCTAAAAATGGGAACAACAGAGCCTGTCTTGTGCACTTGTTGTGAATATTAAATACTGTAATGTGTATAAAACCAATGCTTAGCACATAGTAAAAGGTGAATAAGAGGTAGTTATCTAGAAAGTTTAACAAATTTGGTCGAGAATCACTTGGTAGCATAGAATGTGGTAAGGAAAGTTTCATTTTTATATGTTTTCCAGATTTTACATTTCATTGTAACAAAAATGTAATTTCAGTGAAGACACAGGATAAGAGTATATAAAGCCTGTCCTATGGCCTCTACCAACCCTGAGGTTTAACAACATTAAGAGGGCTATTTAGACAGTTTAAGGCTATGTATTTGCAGATTGGATTTTAAGCCATTTGTAACCCTAAGGTGTTTAAACAACCCTGCAATTTGATTTCAGATTCCCCCCGTGCTATTTTACCTCCTCCAAGCTCCTGTCTGCCAAGCCAAGCCCTCCTTCCATGACCACCTGTCACTTGCTGTAGTGGCTGGGGTTTTGTGAGGCTTCTGGCTGTAACCTGATCCCCACAACTGTTCAAGGGATGCTGCAGCTGCCACAAAATTCGTTCAGTTTTACGGTGTAGAGTGGCTGGGGTTCCATGGCATGCCTCTGGAAAGTTTCCATTCATTTATTTACTCGTTCACCAAAACATGTTGGGTACTTACTAAGGGCCAGGCCGTGTGCTAACTATGCACTGGGAATAGAAAGGGAGTCAAATAGGGCCTCTGTCTTCAGTGGCTCACAGGTTAGCAGCAGGCACAGACAGACAAAGAAATGCTACAACACGGCATCATGGCATAAGAACAGAAATGGACGCACACCAAGAGAAAGCAACTACCCATCCTAGGTGGGAGGATGGAGAGAGGGACGACTTCCCAGAGGAGTGACATTTGAGTGGGCTCTTAAACATTTCTCTTGGCTGTCCCTCCAAATCCTTTTCTAGTTCCCATGTCATTGTCAAACAAGCTCCCAGTTTCTTCTTCACCTCATCTTTGTACCCATGTCTGCCACCCCCAACACACACCCAGAGGCACTCTAAGTTCAACATTAAATCCTGCTGTTTCTTCTTCTGTCTGCCTTCTCCTTCCCACAGCTTTGGTCCAAGCCATAATCGTTGCACACCTGGACTCCTACCTCCCAATTAGCTCCCCTTCCTCCAGCCTGTGTGGGTCCCCTCTCACCTATTGGACACACATCATTGAGAATTATCTTCCTCCAGTGTCACTTAGCTCTCATCACTCTCCTCTTTGCACGCCTATAAAGGCTCCCAACTGCCTCCCAAATCATATTAAAACTCCTCCAGTCTTGGACTTCAAGGCCCACTACCAATTAGCCCTGTTTCGCCTAACTGCCATCCATTCCTGCTGAGTGCAGGTTGCTGCCCTTCGCTCTAGCCAGGCAAAGCTCTTCCACCTGCTTCTTTCCACCTGCACTGCCATCCCTAAGAATGAGGCTATCTGAGTTGACTGCGTGTGCCCAGGGGTAGTTTTCAGGAAAAAGAGGAAGAGAGAAAGGAAGCCAATACCCCTTTAGTATTCTATTATAGGTGAAAGCTTTAAAACATGAGCAACAAGGGTAGAGACAAAAGGAAAACCCAGGATAGAGTGGTGTGGACTGCTGTCAAGTTGGGGCAGGGTGCTGCTGACCAGTGAGTGCTCTGGTGCTGGTTGTGGGCAGCTGAAAGGGCATGGGAGACATCACCAAGCACCTCTGCCAGTTGTGTTGCCCTGCCTCCCTGTCTTCCTTCCATGTTGCCCTGCCTTATCTTTCCTAGGCTGATCTCTCAAGTCCCTTTGACCTGTAAATTGAATGAGGTCATTCCTATCCTTAAAACCTCTCCACAGCTTCTTCTCAGGGTGGAACACAGCTCTAAACTTTTACTCAGATGGCCATGATCTCACTCTGGCTCCTTCTCCAGTGTCATCTCACACCACTTTCCTCTTTCCTCACTATGTTCCAGACACTCTGGTTGTTCCTCCAATCTCAGGAATATTCCAGGTTCTCCCATTGCAGGGCCTTTGCACATACTGTTCCCTCTGCCTGACATCTTCTTGATCACATTCCTCACCTCACTGACCCTTTTCATCATTCAGCTCTCAGCTTCCGTGTCCCCTTCCATGACCACCTTCACTGTAATTCTCTATGAAAACAATACTCTGTCCATTTTTTTCATGGTACTAATTACAGTGTGTAAATCTGCATGGCATAGTTTGTTTTCTTGTTGACTGGCCCCCTCCACTAGTAGGCTGTAAGCTCCTTGAGGCAGGAAACCATTCTTGTTCACTGATGTACTCTTACAAAATGCCTGACACAGAGTGGGAGCTAAGATCTTGCTCACCCAACATCATCTGGATTTCTCCAAAGCATGGTGACTTGTGATTGGCCCAATTTTTGGCCAAGAGGGAATACTCTGGTCTTTTGGAAGCTTCCCTCTAAAATGCCCCACATACCCAATCCACCAGGCCATGATACCTTGCCTTTCAGAATCTGTTCAAGAATCTCCTACTCACGAGACACTTTGCCAAACCAACCATTCCTGAGTGTGGTCCAGGACTTGCAAATTGGAATGCCTACGGAGACCAGGCAAGTAATTGAGAGGGATGGGTCAGGTGTAGGGTGATAGGGGGTACTGGGGACCACAGTTAACTGCTGAGCTTATGTCCCATATAAAGGGGGACAGTTTCTGCTCAGCTCCAGTGGCTGTTAACATGCAAGAAAAGCAAGCCTTGTTTGTTAGATTTTCCAATTTTTTAAAAGAGCTAAAAATAATCTGAATTTTCATATGAAACATCTAGATTTTTTAAAAATGGTATAGGCCTATTTCTGCAATCTCTATCGGCCTGATGGTGAACTCCTGTTCTGTTCTTTCAAGGAAGTTGCTTGGCACTTGTGTTCATATGCAGTGAGCATGTTTACATTCCTGAGTCCTCTGCTATGTCCTGTAGCCAGTGCCAGGCTTCTCCTGAGGGCAGAAATTATGCCTTTGCCTT